GGAGTTTTTTATTTTACACCTTTTATTTTACATTTTTTTTTGTTGAAAAATAGATAATTAATTCTGAAGCAAAGAAGACTATGTCAGGTCACTAGATCTTAAGAGTGGAATTAGTCTTTTGTGGAAAAGAAAAGATACCATTATAATTCCGCAATGAGAGGGAGGGAGACGTACTTTTATGAAATCAATTTCAAATGTCAAATAAAAAGTGAAATCCTCATGACTTGGATGTCACAATAGCTTAATTCAGCTGCTTATTAGATATCCCATTTAGTCTGTGAAAGTGATTACAACACGGTCCAGTTTTGGCTCATCTCCTAATTGATTTACTATTCAAACCAGATGAGATAGTTTTAATTAGGTTTTCACTGGCTTTTGGTTTTTCAGCAGAAGGGAGGAAGATCATATCATCTTGTTAAAGATGTCTTTACCAAACTGACAACTCACTTTCTATGCAATGAAATTAACAAATAATGGGAAAGTGGCAAAAAGAAATGCTTCTCTTCAAACAAAGTTTGAATGGTGTGATATGCTTACAAGAATTACCCCATGGGTGAAGTGAGGGGTCATGGATGTAACAAGTAACAGTTCCCTTAATGTTAGCATCTTTTCCAGGTGTGTTTTTGTATTTTTGCTGGCTCTAGTGGTGATTCATTGGTTCTGCTATCATGTTTTATCTTGTAAAATCATAGAGTTGGAAGGGGCCTTAAGGGCCATTGAATCCAACCACTGCTTACTGCAGGGTCCCTAGCTAAAACATTTCAAGAAAATAGCTGCCCAGCCTTTTTTTTTTGAAGACATCAAGAAAAGGAGAGACCACTATTTCTCTAAGGCTAAGCAGTTGCCTTTACCAGGATGAATAAGTCTGGCTTCTTTAACCTTTCCTTGTATGTTTTGTTCTCCCTACCTCTTGTGCCCCATCTCTGAATCTGCATAAATGTATCTATATCCTTAAAATGAAGTATGCAGATGATGCCTGCCCAGCACAGTGGGATTATTACTTCCCTTGACTTGGCAACTATAGTTCTCTTCATGCAGGCTAAAATAAAATTTGCCTTCTCTGCTGCAGCATCACATTGTTGGCTTATATTCAATTTATGATCAACAGTAATCCCAGGATCTTTTTTTTTTTTCATATACTGTATATACTCGAGTGCAAGCTGACTTGAATATAAGCTGAGGCACCTAATTTTACCACAAAAAATTGGGAAACTTATTGACTCAAGTCTAAGCCGAGGGTGGGAAATGCAGCAGCTTCTTCAACGTAAATGTACTTTATCATTCCAGTAATCACCATAGTTTATTTTAACTATATATCTTGGGGAAAATGCTGTTATGTATATGAACAAGGAAAAGTGGGAAAGACTAGTGCTGAGAGAGGAGGAGAGGAAGGTGCAGGCTGCACTGAGAGAGGAGGAGAGGAAGGTGCGCGCTGCACTAAGAGAGGAGGAGAGGAAGGTGCGCGTTGCACTGAGAGAGGAGGAGAGGACGTGCGTGCTGCACTAAGAGAGGAGGAGAGGAAGGTGCACACTGCACTGAGAGAGGAGGAGAGTAAGTGTGTGCCACGCTGAGAGAGGAGGAAAGTAAGTGTGTGCCGCACTGAGAGAGGAGGAGAGGAAGGTGCGCGCCACACTGAAAGAGGAGTAGAGGAAGGTACGTGCTGCACTGAGAGAGGAGAGGAAGGTGCGCGTTGCACTGAGAAAGGAGGAGAGGAAGGTGTGCACTGCACTGAGAGAGGAGCAGAGGGAGGTGCATGCTGTGCTGAGAGAGGAGAAGAGGAAGGTGCGCGTTGCACTGAGAGAGGAGCAGAGGAAAGTGCTTGCTGTGCCAGGAGAGGAGGAGAGAAAGGTGCATGCTGTACGGAGAGAGGAGGAGAGGAAAGTGCATGCTGTGCAGGAGAGGAAGGAAAGCTGGGTTGCTGTGAGAAGAGGTAAGGGTCCTGGCAGGAAGGCGTGGGGCTGAAAGAAGCCATTCTTTCAGCCCCACGCCTTCTCGTCAGGACCCTCACCCGGGTATAAGCAAAGGGTGGGGGGCTTTTTCAGCCTAAAAAAAGAGCTGAAAAGCTAGGCTTATACTCGCGTATATACAGGGTACTGCTGAGCCATGCAGCTCCTGTGTTTCATACAAATTCTTCTCCTGCCGGGGAGATAGTTTTATTCACACATTAAACTATACTCATTCAAAAGGAGCAATGGGGATCAAATCCTGGGATATAGGGCCGATCTGGAAGGGCCCTTAGAAGCTTCTATGTGGAATGTTCTTCGTCCTATGTTAGTGTTCCCCAAGACAATGAGAAAGCAATGAAAATATACCAAACAGCACAAGAGACCAATATCTTTCTTTAGGAAAATGCTAATGCTAATGAATTACTTTAGGGGGCTATGAAACAAGTTGTGCAGCAAATTACTTATTAAACAGTTTTCTTTCCACACGCCAATCCAGACTGCCGGCCAGACTAACAAAGAACACCAGACTCACAGTGTTAAAGATTTTTTTAATATAATAGGAGCCCTGGTTTATGGCAATAAAGCATGAGTGGAGGGCAATTTTGCTGGATTTCCATTATATTTACTGCAGCCGAGCCTCATCTTTATTGTAAAAGACAGCATCCAGAAGTACTATTAAATGACATCAATAAGGATTTTGCCTCATAATGGGCAGCAGGATTGGATTTTTAATTTGGTAAACTAATATAAAAAAGCCCAGGCATTTTCCTTAAGGATATTAACTCATTCTCCTGTCAGAGCTTGGACCATGGCTAAATACACTGGAGAAAGGAAACAGAGACAAACTGTGGATGATTCAGGCTAGAAGAGGATTGGAGTTCAACACTGTGCTTCATTAAATTATAGCATGGGCTGTTTAATAATGCAGCTGGTTCTCTTCAAATTCTTCATTTAAATCCAAGGCTTTGCTTTCCTGAGAGAAACATGGAAAGAAAACTTGTCAGTGGAGTAAGAAGCCTTTGAATGCATAGTGTACTTAGTACTGTATATACAATTGCATCAGGGAAGCTATTATTTCAAAGATAGTTGCTTATTAGAGGCTTATTATGCTGGGGGCCAGAAATGAAATCGAATTCATGAAGGACAAATCCTTTAGTGGCCATTTGGAAAGACATTTGAAAAGAGAATATTCATATTTATAAAGGTTATGCCTCTAATGCAGGAATGGGCAAAGTATTGCCATCCAGTTGCAGCTGGGCTGCCATTACCAGCATCCTTTATCAATCATTCGGTCCGATTGGAGTTGCAGTCCAACAACATAGAATCATGTAGTCTTTTAGCCTGTATCTTCTTTGCTGCAGATTTATAGTGCTTTGACATCACCTTAAGTGCCATGTCTCTATCCTATGGAATCTCGGGATCTAAAGTTATTGTGACACCAGAACTTTCTGACAGAGAAGGGTAAATATCTCAACCCCTCCCCTACAAATCCCAGAATTTCATATCATTGAGCCACATCCAGTTTTTATTTATTTTGTGTCAAAAGCATTGCATAAATAAGTATAAAACAGACAAAATAGAGGAAGCACAAGTGGCTAAATAATTTTAGACCAAAAATGAGCAACAGCGACCACATTGTTTGTAGTTTTAAACAATTCTTCCTCTGTGCATGAGGCAGGGCATTGTGGGCAAGCATGCAGATGTGGAATTGTTTGTTCTGCTCCATAGTTTCACAAGGAGGAAGATTCTCCTAGGTAATGCCATTTTGCTAGGTTGTCTTTTGATGTGCCCACTCTACTTCTGAGTCTGTTCAGGAACTTTCAAGTTGCCCGTTCTTGGTTTGCCCCTGGAGGCAGACCCTCGTGGGGTGTTATCATCCAATTGAGATATCCTGGTTTAGCTGCCCAGAAGGATACTCTTGCTGTTGCTGGGGGAATGTTAAGAGGAGTGGTGGTTCTCATGAAGCTTTTCCTTGATTTGAGTCTACTGGGAGGAGGCTGGTAGCCATGCAGTGGATGGCTTTCACAGTGTTCAACCTTATTTCTCTCATAGTTAGCAGCAACTTCCATTGCACATCGGGGGGGGGGGGCATGCCAGCTAGTTTATAGAGTCTATCAACAGCTATAGGTTTGAGACATCCTGTAATTATTCTACATGTTTCGTTCAGTGCTATATTCACCTGCATTGCTTTACATTGCCATGGGCAATTAATCTGGTGTCAAACTTCTATGCCAATACACCCTTGGAGTCAGAAGGGACCACAAAGTCTATATATTCCAACTCCCTGATACAAGCACTCCTGAAAGATGTCCACCCAAATTCTCTTGACGTGAATACTCTGGATGATGGAGACACAGCAGGGAAATAATTGCTTAGTTACAAATCGCTATTTAGTTACAATCCCTTTTCACAACAACAGAGGTACAACTAACTTATATTACAGTTGTAACACAATGAGGGATAACATCATCTCTTCTTTGGTGTAACTATAACTTTCTAAAATTACTTGCATGAATTCAGGGACATGATGGAGGAGGAATATTGCACATTTCAGATTCTGGCTCTGTTCTAAATATTGAGGAGAAGAAGTGGATGGAAGAACAGTGGAGTTTTGAACCAGGAAAAGTAAAACATAACTTAAAAATTATAATGACAGCTGATTGTTTTTGAGATTTTAGCTGGAATCAGTTACTTCAAAAGGACAAATCTCAAGCTGTTTCAGTAGAAAGGAGTTGTTCAGTTTGTGAGCATCACAGTCTCATCTGGAAAATATCTTTTGGAAACAAACATAGGCAGAGGACTAAAATGTTTAGATAACTTCATTTTTTTCTCTTCAATATCTAAAAGACTTTGGGCTTTTAAAGAAAGTAAATTTTCTACTTATTTTCCTTTGCTCTCCTAAAATAGAACCTTGCATCCATATGATGTATACTATACATACATCTGATATATGTATGTGTATCAGTAATGCTTTACTACAGAAAAGGTTTTTAAACTTTACTTTAAAATCCAATTGCAATTTTGAGCATATTTGTTTTCAATCCACTTTAATAGGTATGGAAAGCGGTCCAGTCCAGAGACACTGATCTCCGATCTTTTGTTGAGAGAAAGCACAGAAAACATCCCCAGGTCTAGGTAAGCGTAATTTTTCTGATACTTATTTTCATTATATTTTTCTCTCACATATTTCTAATGCCTAGCATCTCCCAATACTTAACTGCTGTAATTTTGCTAAATCACTTTTAACTATAATTCCTAGTAATTTAAAAGGTCTTAGTGCAAATTGGTGAAGGGCAATTTCTGAAATTTTGCTTGAAAATAAATGTGATATACGTGGGAGCGAAGAAAACAAGAAGCTGGGAGTATGGGCATCCTTAGAAAGGTTTTGGATATGAAACCATGACTATTTGTGTAAGATCAAGAAGACAAACAAACAAAACCTGGAAAGTCTTGATGTTTCTAGAGACTGTTGGCTTATCTGTAATCGATGAAAGGCAGGCATCCCTTAGGGGTTCTTGTAAGCAATATAGGTAAACTTTTATCTATAACCCTTTCCATCTCGAGGTAGATTTCTTGAGATAATCAAGCCATTTTTTCCCCCTCTCCCACTTCACCTTTAAAAGGTATCCCGAGTAACTCATTCCTATTTCTACTAAGTTGCTCTAGCTCTTCCACATTCTGTACAATGTAATCACCAAATATTCCTACAAGAGTGGGAACTATGTGGCTCAGGGGCTGAAAATAGTCCCCGAATGCTTTCTGTTTTTTAAAACTGTTCATGATGCAAATGCAAAAAATGGACAGAACAGAAGCAGTCAAGCAGTTTTTAATTCTTTTTTTTAAGTCAAACATTTCCGCATATATAAAAACAATAATATATAATCAACAAGAGAAAGGACAGAAAAAAAGACAAGAACATAAAAATGCCAAAAGAAGAAAGAGAAAAAAAATCTTTATTTAAATGTTATTTTGGTCCCCTGCAGCATTTGAAAAATAACCAATTGGCCCCAGTGTCTAGGGGCAATATTATTCCACCTTCACTTCCATAGTGACATCCTATGGAATTGTAAGGTTTACGGTTTAGGGGAGAACTTCCTGAATACTCAGCCAGAGAGTTCTTGCGACTCACTAAACTAACTATTGTAGTTTTTCATAGGATGTAGCTATGGTATTTAAAATGGAATAAAGCACCGTAATTGTATATTATATGAATGGGAACCAGGTTGAAAACAGGGCAGGGATGGTCCCCGGATCTTGTGTGGTGGACCAGATACAGAGAGGTGAACATGTTGGAGGATCAGAGGGAAATTCTCCACTACTTCTGAAATTATTGTAATAAGCTCCTCTGTTGCATCAAAGTATGGGAGATTAAGCTGTCAGGTCACTCATGTAAAAAATAAGAAGGAGCTGCCCATTGACTTGGATTTTAGACAGAAAAGGTGTAACGCCAAAGGTAAAGGGAAGATCTCTCTGGCTCTTTGCCTCAGGCAGGAAAACAGTATGGGTAATCTCTACCTTTCCTAATGCATTGTACAGCTGGACACAGCTCCCACTCTTCTGTTGCTCTTCTGTTTAACATGTCCATTTTAATTTGCATTAACCATGTTTCTAGTTCAGTAAATAGTAAGAAGAAAAATCCCACCGGTCCTTTTTGGAGAATCTGTAATATATTCCAACTTCATATATTCCTGGGCTTGTTAAAAATAAATGTCAAGGCTGAGTTCTAACCGGCTTTGGCACACGAGAACTTGGAATCCAAAGACTGCAGGGTTTAAAAAATGACTTTTGACTGAGAATGAATGTCAGCTATAAGAGTCAACTGCTGATGGAGGAAAATGTCTGTTTTATGGCTTAGCAAAAGATTAAAATGTCTATTTCAACGATGAATGTCAGAAATGGTGGTTGCTAATTTCAAGTCATTCTGCAGTTATTTTTTATTGATCTCCCTCTCACTGAAACATATTTCCAGTGAAGCAACATTGGAAGTGGCATGTACAAAAAATTGACTAAATGATCTCTTGGCATATTTGATAGTGCAACATTTACAGGGAACAAAACACATGACTATAGTGGAATGCTGTAGCGATACTTACCCATTTTGATATACATTGCTTAGTACACTGTGGCATTTAAAAATCTCATTAAAGAAATAGCCCTTCATCCAGACTTCTGCAAAAGCTTGAAAACATGTATATGTCCCCAGCCACTTCCACAGAGAGATAGCTCCATAATCTTTTGAGAATTTGGAAGCAATGCATTTGTTACAAGGAACAATGGGTCAGAGTAGCAATAATCCAGCCTGGACTGTAGAGTGGTTGCATTGCCCATCTCTATTACCTGCAGTGGAAGAACAGCATCAAGACTTCCCAGTCATGCCCCGTTGGATGGCCACTGTTACCTGTGTCCAAAGAGCTCCTGCCATTACTTGGCACCTTGCAGATGTCAGCAAAGGTGACCACATGACAAAGGGGGGGGGGGATTTCGGCAAAGGAACAAAGTGTCTGCCATCTCGCTTGCCTTGTGCCATGGACCAAGATGGCAGCACTGGCCGGTGTGATCACTGGGGTCAGTTCCGAATTGGAACCACCACAAAGTTTGGAGCTGCTCCAGAGATCCAGGGAGCTTCAGAGCATTTCCTGACTTTTCCTAACACAGTTCCAAACCACCTTAAATGTTGAAGGCACGAAGGCCACGTGCATCATGTAGGCATCAAAGAGCAATTTCTCACTCTCCTCTTTTGATAAGCATCTTTCCTATCAATGGTTCTTTTGGCTGAAATTCCAAGACATAATGACTTACTATAAGTGGCTTGTGAGGACAAGTGTAACACAGGTGTCTGGATACTGACATACACTCTAAAGTATTTTCCCTCCCTTCTTTTTACAGTCTTTGGCACTGTTTATTTATTTATTATTTATTTATTTCAAACATTTGTATCCCGCCCTTCTCAATCCCCGAGGGGGGGACTCAGGGTGGGATACAGCCGGCAATAATTTGATGCCAACACAAAGGGAAACACAATGCAACATCACATTACACAATAGGTAAAAGATTAAGTTAAAAATCCCTTTAAAACATTATTATCAACTATTTAGCCATTTCCGAGTCCGATTCAGCATCCCAAGACCCAGTCCACAGTCAGGTTCTCAGACATTACAATTGCTGCCAAACCTACTACCCAAATGCCTGGTCCCAAAACCATGATTTAAGCTTCTTCCTAAAGGAGAGGAGGGATGGAGCTGACCTAACCTCGCTGGGGAGTGTGTTCCACAGGCGGAGCATGGGGGTAAATACTACTTTGTTACACATTAATAACTAAGAAGGTGATATCAGAATTGTAGAAAAGAGCTCTAGGAACTACGTTTCATAAAGGGACTATTCCAGGTTCTAAATAGTTATTTTGCATTGTGCTACATAGGCAAATAATAATAATAATAATAATAATAATAATAATAATAATAATAATAATAATAATAATTTATATCCCACTTTTCTCCCTATATGGGACCTAAAGCACTTCATAATATTTTAAAACAATACAAATCAACCATACATAAACAATAAACAATAAATTATGTATGTTTTTATATAACACTATAGCAAACTGTTTGGCTGAATGAATGAATGAATGAATGAATGAATGAATGAATGAATGGGTGGGGAATTGAGGGGGGGGGACTCTCAGATGAGCTTAACTTCTTTTTTATTTTCCTACTGACCTTCAGAATACTTTCCTCTTTTTCATGATGTGTTACAGATATGAAGATCCTGCAATGTGGTGATGGAACTAACCACCAGTCTTCAGTCTTTTTCAGAGTTTTCAGTGCATAATCCATTGCTAGAAGACCTGTTGGAATTTTACATCCCCTCCAGTGCATGCAGCCATTGTACTGAATTCTGTAGTTTTTCCTTCATTTTCCTTGTACATACATTTATTTAAATAAAGTACTTGTGCACTCTAAGTGTTACCATTTTACATGTGTGCGCAAGAAAAAAGGCCACTGTAGCGAATAAAGCTTTGTTCTTAAGCGGTTGAGTTACAATTTCCGTACTGTCTAGAGTAGCATGTACAATAACCGTAGCACCAACTCTAATTGTTGTAAAAATTGACATTTATCTAACATTTTATTTGAATCAGTCTCTCGTAAAATTTGATTTCTAGAACATTATTTGTTTCATGACAATTACTGCCCGTGATGCAAATGAGAAAAATAAAATGATGTGGAAAGTGCATATTTTTCTAATCAGAGTACAGAATATTATTTATTACCTTGATAAATGTCTTAGCTTTAATAGTATATATAGTGCAAGGAAAGCGTCATTTTCCACTGAATTTCGCCTCTTTATCACAACAAATGAAAACGCATATTCTAAAAGCACTGCCACTTCATTTATTTTAAGATTATTCAGAGAGAGAAAAGACAGAGACTTGCATCCTATTGTTTGGTCCACAATGAGAGTAGACCTTTCGAACCAGTTGCTTAATGGTGAATTAACACATAGGTGAATCTTGTTGGAACTGACAACATAATTTAGGCTATAATGGTTTTTAAGACATCAGTAGAAAACACTTCAAAAGGAATTGGGTAAAGCATAGTATTATATAGTTAGTGCAACCCTACAATTGTGACCTACCAAATCCAAGCAACCCTCAGAGTTGATACCAGAAGGGCCCATTGCAAACCGTGACAATGGCCCATTGCAAACCCTGACAATCTCCTTTTGGTTTCCCTTATCATTATCAGAAGTTCTGCTGCTTGCTGCCATTTATTCATTCACCTTCTTCCTTCTCTCTCTGGACAAATTTTCCTATGCATAGTGCTTTTCATGAAAGTAGAGTCAGTGCCTGGTTCTGTTCTATGGTGGATGGCCATTATATTGCATCCCATGTCATGTCATTTTTGACCTCAAGTTTAGGCACCACAGCTGGCCAGTCACCATGGAAGGGATCCAAGAATTAGATAAAATTCTGTTGGGAATGAATTTGATGGGGATGGGGAAGAAGGTCTCATAAGGCCAGCAAGCTGGATCCAGTATAACAACAGCCAGCTGTTGCCTGGCATGTGGTCTCCTCTGGCAGAAGCTATCAGGGGCCATAATTGCATTGGGAAAGGATCTCTTGGTGCCATCAAGGCAAAAACCCACTGAGGTCTGGTGACACCTTTGCCTACCATTGTAAAGCAGACTGTCAGGATCTTGGGGCTCCTCTCATCTTACAATTCCAAGTAGACAGCAAACACAGGGTTTATCAAGCCTCTCATGGGCTATCATTCATTGATGATCAACTTCCATGTGACTTGAAGATCCTGGTTTAGTGACTATATATTATGAAAACAGTGTATTACTGGACTGCAATTTCCTTGAACTGCAACTGTGGTGAGGAATGCTGGGAGTCCAAGAACATCTGGAGGGCCAACTCTGGTATAAATTAATCGCAAACTAACTTTTGGGCTCCCTGGTGGTACAGCGGGTTAAACCACTGAGCTGCTGAACTTGCTGACCGAAAAGATGGTAGTTCAAATCCTGGGAGTGGGGTGAGCTCCCACTGTTAGGCCCAGCTTCTGCCAACCTGGGGATGTTTTCTATGCAAATATAAGTAGATCAATAGGTACAATTTCTGTGGGAAGGTAATGGTGCTCCATGCAGTCATGCCGGCCACATGACCTAGGATCCAAGTATCCTATGGACAAAGCCAGCTCTTTGGCTTAGAAATGGAGATGAGCATCACCTCCAGAGTCAGACAGGACTAGACTTAATGTCAGGGGAAACCTTTACCTATATTTGCTGAGCCTGGATATTTGTGGAGTTCAAATGACACTATGCTCAGAACAAGTGTTAGCAAAATAACTGGGGGTGGGGGTGGAAGAAGGAAGGATCCTATGGATGGAGTATAACTAGCATGCTTGGCTCACAGAATGCTCAGTGACAGAAGTAGAAACTAGAAGGGAAGAAAATGGAATATTGTCGAGTATTCTGAAGAAATGTATAGCTGGCCGGACCCTTGAATGGAATTGTCCAGAACCACAACAACATTTTGTTAGACATTTTTAATATTTGAAATTTACAACCCTTAAAGTAGTTTTACAAAATGGCATCAGTTCATTAATGGTGCAGATTGGAAAGGCTGATGGCACACCTTATAGTCTGGGTGAAAAATTAGGATGTGCATATAACCATGTGTGTGTAGACATCTAACCAGAAAGACCAGCACATAGATCAATATAACTAAGAAAATTTAAAATATATAGTCAAGCCTTTTAGTTTAAGGAAGCTGATTAGGTTGCGGTTGGTAAAGCCATTTAATTATTATTAACACCTGCTGATCAATTTATCCGCTCTTATTTCTGAAACTTTAGAGGTCAGTGACCATGGCTTTATTGAGAAGTACTGTAGTTAGTTCTACCGCAAAACTGTATGATGAAGCACCCTTTGGAGGAACTCGTTTGAACCTGAACCCTCAAGATACTAGACCAGAAGCTGTGATGACAGACTTTCAAGAATTTGGATTAGCAATGCTGCACAGAACTGATATTTCTTGACACTGATCATATGAACAAAATAATTGACATTTTATGGTATGGCAATTAACAATTTCATATGGAATTTCTGAATGGTCTCTTGAGACTATTCCTTTCAAAGCAAAATATGTGCAGCCATAATTACTTGTCTGCCGTGAGAGATCTGAACTCTTTGCCTGAAAGGTAGTTCATCGTCTCAGTGTATTTGGGAAATACTATTTTCTCTTCGTACTGGAAATTGTGTTGCTGGGACTTTTCAATGAGCATACTCAGAAGTGTTCCAGGAACTCTAAATCATGGACATATTAGAATCCAGACAATATCTGTAACATTCCTTATAGTTGGTGAGATATCTCTGTCCCTTTGTGTCTGGGCTACACAAATTTGGTGGCTCCAAACAATGTAGAACAGAATTCAGATGCTCTACAATGGGCTTCCCTTGTGATTTTCCCCTCAACACACACATTTTTAAAAGCGGTTTGCTTTAAAACAGAACATTATAATGGATTTAATAATAAAATCTTCCCATTTACACAGCTTCTTCCTTGGGGAACATTTTGTTGCTCTGAAAGAATAAATATGAGATTTAAAGTGATGATCATTCATATACAAATTAGCTCACAGTCTCCACACAGCAGTATTGAACAGTTGCAGAATTTAGTGCTGGATTTCCATGGGAGGGGTGATTTTCCCTCTCTACAGCAGCCTGGCATGCGCCCTAACAACCTGGAGGGATAGCAAATCCTCTGCAGCCAGTTAATCAATTTACTATGTATTAATGTTTTTAACTTGTTAATCGTTTAAATTGCTTTTATGTATTGTTTGTTTATTGATTTAGGCATCGACTTGTGCCTTCGTTTGTAAGCCGCCCTGAGTCCCCCCTCGGGGGTGAGAAGGGCGGGGTAGAAGTAATTGAAATAAATAAATAAATAAATAATCAAGCAGTCCAGGGGTGACATTTCAGTTATAATGGTGCCATTGCTTCTATTTCTATGGGACAATAAAACCAGCTTGAGTTTTAGCCTGAACTTTAAAGGACTTCTTCAAAATGTTGAATCTGCATTTGGAATAGGGCTCAGAACCTTGGGTATCTCTTTCAAAGTTCAAATCAAAAGTTGTAGAGGATCGATCACACCACCTTTTTGTAGGGAAGCCATCTGCCACCTCTGACTGGTGATAAAGGAGCAGTCTGACACTGAATGTTAATCTATATCCCATAGTACATACTTCCCCATCTGGCGCTCTCCAGTCATTTTGAACAACAGACCTACAAGCTGACCACTGGCTGCCCTATTTGGGACTGATATTAGGTGAAGTCCAGAGGGCACCAGTTTAAAGAAGGCTGATGCAGTGGACTCGACTTAAATAAGCATCAGGTCTACCTTCCCTCCATGGCAATTAACAGAGTCACATGAAACCACTCATAAACTTGCAGGCTCTTCCTCCTCTTGCAATTTTGCAATCACATTCTGTAGACAGAGTTTGGAAATTTTGGTCGAGATCATGCTTCAGGAGATGAAGTTATGGAGATGTAATTCTGATGTCTCCCAAAGCTATCCTCCAAAATCTTACCTGGAGCAAGGTGGTGATGTATCTATCCTTCTCCCAGTTGTAGGGCATGCTGAGACAGTCAAGTTGGGATCCTGTCACAGTTGTCTATCCCAGCATCTCCTGTGACTGGGAAAAGATTGGAGATGTCATTTGTCATCCTAGAGACATGTCATTTACCACTCTGAAGAGCACGGTATTAAATGACATGTTCAACCTTCTCCCAGTTACAGAGGATGCTGAGACAGACAACTGGGTGGATGTGTGGGTGTTTTTGGGGGGTGGGGGTGGGGGCAGCAAATCTTCAATGATAGAATGAGAGGGGACACTTTTGGTCATTGTGACCATGTCATGACCATAAACATGAATTGGGATAATTATGAGGCTGTGAGCTAGACTTAAGGAATTTTCATTATTGAACATTATTTTGGAGATCCAGAATATCCCAGTCACCATGGCCAATATCCTTCTCAAGCTCTGCCCTCAGCATGGGTCTGAAACCACCTGGTTCGTTAACCCTACAAGTCAAGAACAGCCAAATGGAAAAATCCTATGTCTGTGACAATTGTCACTGCAACATACAAGTATCCTAGTGTTAACCAAACTCTGGTCCTTCAGGTGTTGTGGACGTTAACTTCCAGAAGCCAGAACATTTGTCAAGGTAGTTGAAGCTTCTTGGAGTTGCTGTCCAAAACAGCTGGAGGACTAGAGTTTGGAAATCACTGTTTTAGTACAATACAAAACTTTATTACGGTCACTGATCAGTCCAAAGTGGGGCACAAGCACCTTGGGAAGGGGAAACACAGCTCCCCAGTGAAGCAGTTATCTAAAAACAGATTAGAAAACAGTTTGAAGTCACAGTTTTAAAACATAGGTTAATGTAACAGGTATGGAACCAAGGAGGAAAAGACTGATAGGAGGGGTCAAAACACAGGAGGGGCACTAAAGAGGATGGGAGGGGCACATTACAAGTCTAGTGGCATTTCAGCTGTAACATGTTGCTCTAACTATATTAATAATAACTTTATTTTTATACCCCGCCTCCATCTACCCTAAGGGACTCGGGCTGGCTTACAAAGGGACAAGCCCAAGGAGCACAAAGTTAAAAACATAACTGTGAAGATTTCACCAATTTGTGACGAGGCCACTAATTTGCAAAGAGTTT